TTCAAATTCCCCTCCTATATAAATTTATTTTGTTTTCAAATTGCGTAATGATCATCAAGCCAATAAAATTTAATTTTTGCGTGATATATGGAAGGGAAATCGTCACAAATATTAGCCAATGAAATCAAATGTCCATTATGCTATTTTTTTCTGTTCATATATATATATATATATATAATCTTTTTTAAATCTACCTGTCACACAACATCAAGTTGTATATTTAATATATTTAATTAATTCCTAAAGACAATTTATTGGAATGAATACTAAAAAATATTGACGTGTTAATGTTATACGATTTTTTAACTGACCAGAATTTTTAAAAAAGGATCTGTAGATGTCATAATTTCCGCCCAAATTTAAGCGGCCAAATTCCTCGCGAACATAGTAAAATATACTGTACGTATGTACTGGGGAAAATTTTTTATCTCTGCAGATCACTAATAGATTTCTACGAAACACGAATTAAACGTGTCTTTTATATTTATTCATTTAAATTTTTAAATGACTAACAAAAAATAAAATTAATTAATTATTATAAACTTATTTATTAACTAATAAATTAGCACTGAAAAGTTTGTTTTATCATTTACTAAATCTCAATCATAAAAACAATTATTATTCATTGAAATCGCAGACCATATTTCGTTACCGTCCCGGTTTATTAAAACATAACCATTCTTGAATTTGACAAACAAATCCCCTGAATAAAAAAATAATATTTATTAGAAAAATATATCTAAAAAATTATATTGTAAAAAAAAAATTGGGAATGTAATTTTTTTGTCTTGAAAGAAAAATAATATAAGGTTTTTTTGAATGAATTTTCAAGGCTCATTTATTTGACGTCAGCTACTCATTTATTTGTAGCAAATAAAGATAAGTTTGTTGAGGACAAAAAAATACTAAAAAAAAAAACATCATATTACATTATTTTTACTATTAATATCGATAAAAATAGAATGAGGCTCCTGTGCCAATGGACAGATATGTTGTTGAAAGGAATCATATTCATTTCAATAGATTTTTAATTCTATCTTATGTTGGAAGATGCAAAATTCAAATTGGAAGTCAACTTTAGCATGAATAGTGTCTAAAAACTTGAAATCTTTGGATCTTTTGACCTCATGTATTATATTCTTTGTCGTTGTATTATAATGGCCTATATAATATTCGAGTGAATATACTTTTTCTAATTTATATAATAATAGGATCATGTCAAATTTTCTTTTACGTTAGGACTCAAAGTTGCATCTGTTAGTGATCTCAAGTTCTAATTTTGCTTTAGAATACAATTTACTTTAAAAATTTGACATTATTGAGATCTTTAGAATCTAATGCTATATTAAAAATTATTACTAATACGAATACGATATCTATCTATCTATCTATTCTTTAATCTAACTTCACCTATGCGAGCACTAGTGTAAGTTCTAAACTCTTCTATTTGATCTCTTTGTTTGTCGAATGGGAAAATTGGGTTCTCAACAATATAAAATAAAAATTGAAATGAGCGTAACAACTCTTATTGTGCCATTGGAAGTTATGGTCTTCAGATACAGAGTAATTAATCAATTCATTTTCCTGAAGGTTTGAAATTGGATTATGTAGCTTAAGTCGTTGTAATTAACTCAACTAGATGTCAAGTTCTTTTTCGGGTTTGTACGGTGACTTCTTGTTGATAAATGAGAATGTAAACGATTGTTTTGTTTTGATCGATATAATAACAAAACTAATTTAATTATAACAATAATAATAAAAATAATGTGTTCATTAAGACATTTTTTATTGAGATACGCAAATTTGTTAAATAAATCTATGAACTTTGTTTTTTTTAAAAAAGAAATATTTGATGATAATCGCTATTTATGATTATTTATGATAATCATTATTTATTTATTGTCAGCTGGTTATAAATTTTAAATTTTACAATGCAATGAATTCTCAACGAAATCAAATAAAATTGAGCCTAAACTTGTGCATTTGTTTCATGCAGGTAGAATAACCATTATTACAGTAGGTAATGATAATTTCTTTAAAGCTTGCCAGCTAGAGGAAAGACACATTTAGCTCGTTCTTTACATCGTTATCTTAAATGGTTAGGCGTGCCAACTAAAGTTTTAATGTGGGAAACTATAGAAGAAAAGCTGTGGGAACAGCTTCAAGTTTACCTCAGGATTTTTTCAACCCTAGTATGTTTTATCAAGAATTATTGCCATCTGTTATAAATATGTGTAATCAATGCTAATTTATTAATTGCTAAAATTATATATATTCATAAATATGTATACATATGTATGTGTGAAATATAGGAAATCGAGAATCAGCTGAAGCAAGACATAAAACTGCAACAGATTGTTTACAAGATTTGATTGGTTGGTTGGAAAAAGAAGTGCAGGTTGGAATTTATGATGCTAGTAATACGACAGAAGAAAGATGTAAAGAAATAAGTGACGTTCTAATCAGTCGTAGTATACATGTATATATGTGATTTTTCATTGGTATTTTGGGTATACTTTATGGGATTTTTTTATATTAATATATACATGCTCGGACAAAAGTTTGTGTACAATGTTCTTCATTAATTACGCAAAATGCTACATGATAAAAATATATAACATTTTAACGTTAGATAGCCTAGGTTCTTATATATAAAATTTGATGTTTCTTGTATTTCCAGTACTTTATTAATAATAAAAAAAAAACGAAATACTTTTTTTTGAAAAGATCTTCAATAAGTCAAAATTGAAAAAAACCCGACTAATATCTGGTGGGCCACCCATCATTAGAAATACATGCCTCAATTCTTCTTGGCATGCTTTCAATGAGCTTTTCTAAAGTCTCGTAAGGTATTCTTCTTTCAATTCCGATATATTTTTTGGATGCACTGCACTTTTTTTGAAAAAAATTTTATCGATTACGATTTAGGTCTAGAAAAAAAAAATAACAAAAAAATAAAACCTAGATGCGCTAAAGTATTGAAAATCGTATGTTTTATTTTCCAAACTATAGTTTTATATGATATAGTTTTAAATATTTTTATTATGTAAATTTTTGAAAAATACGAAAATACCGTAAACATTTTAAAATTTAATCAACTTGAGTTTTTTTTTTAATTAATAAAGTAAACTTTATATGAAAACGAACAAGAACCTAGGCTATCTAATGTTAACATTTATGTGATTTTATTATGGTGCATTTTGCGTAATTAACGAAAAACATCGTTCGCAAACTTTTGTCCGGGTAGTGTATATATATATATATATATATATATATATTGATTGATTCTAGCCTCTTTTTATTGGTAATATGTTACTCATATATATGATTTATAAAGAATCTTTTTTTTAATAATTATTTTTTTAATTTGTCATATTTTTTTTTAATGTAATTGTAAATTTCAGTGTTGGTGCAAATTTACACAATGTTTTAAATAAATCGTAATTGATTAGTAGTGAAGTGCGGAGGTGTCCATTGAAGGCAATTTTCCTCAATCCTTCGATTATGATGTTTTTCTTTTGCTTTACGATAAGCAGTAATCAACCCATCAGTAAGGCAATAACTTGATTGAGCTTTGTAAGGCTTGATTATATCAAGAGTCTGTAAAGTTTGTAAAACATCTGTAACAGCAATGCTGGTTCTTGTTGAAATATCTTCAATCGATATATCTTCATTATTTTCCTTTGCCTGTAGCAAAGCTTCAACGATTGCCTCTGTCCAATAAGATCGATAAGACAATAACCCAAGATCAGAAAGTGGCTTCTCTGGTGATCCTAATTTTCCTTCTTTTTTGGATAACTCATATGAAAATGCAATCAACAATCTACCAAAACCTTTTCTTTGATGTTGTGGTAAGGTTAGAATACATGCAAGATTATATCCTTCAGTACTCTCCTTCTCTTTTGAAAAATAACCAATCATGTGGAAACCATATTCATCTTGTTGACACATAATATAAAATAGAAATGGGTCCACATCATAATAGAGGGTTTTATGATCAAGAAAAAGCTTAGATAAAAGGCATAGATTTCGACAGTAGGTCTTTTGTTTATTGCCATCAATCTCAAAAAATGATATGTCACCAAGTCTGTAAATTTCATTTCCAGGTGGATGTCTTACATTGCATTTCTGACAATGTCGACGAAGCTGGCGTTCACTTATAAAATGGAATAAACAAAATTCGCAAATATAGACTATTGATGCCTCACTATACTCTTGTGGATAAGGTGAAAAATACCATGTCTCAACATCATATTCCCCGAAATGGATTCTCTCCAAATTTTTCACTCTAGAAATTTCTGAATGTGATTGAGTCATTGATCCAGAAAAACGAAGCCTTTCAATCTCTTTTTCTTTTGAAAATGCTTGATTTAATGAATTAACATTAATGGGCGTAAGATTATTATTATCCATTGATTCATACCCATCCATAGAAGGTTCAATCAATGGAGTAGATGGTGTAGGTGTACCGCCCGGTGTGTGAACTTCTTCTAAAGTTGATATTTTTCTTTTTTGTCCTATTGTAGCTGAAACATTTCTATTTCCTTCTCTTAAAGGTGATCCTATTCTAGATGGTGTATCAACATCTTTAATATTATTTTTTGCTCGTTTTTTTGTCGGTCTTTCAACTTCTCTACTAAAGTCAACTCTGTCAATATTTATCCACTCATCTAACCTTTTATTAAACTCCATAAAATGTATATAATATTCTGTTTGTCCTGAGCCATTGGTACGGATTGACAAAATTTCAGCTTTACGATGTTCTTGCTCATCTTCAACTTTATCTTTTTTTACCTTTACAAATATTTTACAACCAACTATAAGTTCAGAGGAAGAGCCATTGTTGCAAGGAGGTGTACCTGATCTAGGAGTACCCGGTCTAGGAGAAAGTGAAGCAGAAACTCTTGTACCCATATTCTAAAAAAAAATTATTGAAATTACTCATACATGTACATACACATACACATATATATATGTGACATAAAGTAATTATATATTTATTTATATTCACCTTTATTTTTGTTCTCGTTGTTGTTGTTGATGTATAAAATTCTCAATGAAAAAAAAGGAAAAAATAATTATTATTTATATGAGAGAGATGTGTAACAAAAGAATTTATTTATTATATATAGGGATTACTAGCTATTTTAAATACATCAATCACACGCAAACACTACACCAAAAAATATTAAAGATTTTCAATAACTGTCATCGAAAAGAAACTATATTAATATATTTCATCGCTATTTTTTATCAACAATGGCGGGTATGGTGTACTTTAAGTACCTCCCTTTATTTTTATTTTTTTTGATAAGTGAAATCGTTAGATTTGAACTGAATGCTCTTAATGATTAATGTTTCATGTTATATCAGAGCTTGCCCCAGAAAATCGAGAACCCAATACTCTTCAAGGAACAGAAGCTCTTGAGGAAGACACTGATTTGACTCCTGAAGATTTGTTAGCCAGTTTATCAGAAAACTCGACTGGTTTGTACACTTGCATATTTAACATTTGCTTGTAAAATGTCACGAGAGATAATTCTCCAAAGATTTTGTGTAGAATGTGTGAAGTTGAAAAAAAAAAAACTTGTTGTTTTCTCAGCATTAATTAATTGTTTGAATGTGAATGCTTTTTACTAAAAAAATTCTTGGATTTACTATAGAAAATCAATTTCCAGATGTTCCACCTGATGACATGGAAGATGAAGAGATTTTAATGGATGAATCATTATCACCTCTTGAAAAAATTTTTCTGTATGTAAAAAGTGAGTTGGTATTCCACAGGTAAGCAAATAACTGTTTTACACATTATTTTTTTGAAAATTTTTTTTTTAATAATTTGCTAATTGATACTGACAGATGAAAATCTTTTTAATTATTTATATATATGTGTGTATAATTATAATTATAATTATATTTATATAAATAATTAAAATGAAAAATAATATTTTCTTCATGAGAGTGTTCATTGCAAGAGAACTTCCAACATTAATAAGAGATGTTGAAATCAGTGAGGCTGTAGAATATGTATTACCATTGATGAATTCTCTAGGAACCGATCCAGGTTTTGATTAATTGATTAATTGTTAGCTTATTTAACTTGTTTGCTTTCCAAATGTGTGCTTTTGGTCTCGATACTCTTGATTTCACACTTTACAGTTGTCAATTTTTCAATTTACTGTAAATTACTATATTTTTGTTAGAGGACCACGTTAAAGAAACTTTTGCTACTGAATTGGACGATATCATATGGTTTTATTATTCAGTAAGTATCTTCTTCATGAAATAATAATAATAGTGTCGTTATTGTTATTATTATTTATTTTTATTATTAAACAGCACTGTCCACTCAGGGAAGCCACAGACTGTTCACAAACTGACATAGCGATTAATTCAAGACCGTTGACTCCTCAAAGACCACAAACTCCCCAACAACGACCGCAAACACCAATACAACAATATCACTCTCAACAGACATTGTCTCAGCCACCAACTCCAACCAACAATATTCCATACTTGTCACCTTCCGCTTTTACTCCTTTACTCCATGCTCTTCTTCTTGATCAAAACACGGCAATAGCACAAGCAGCTCAAAATGTAATTCTATCGCTTGTTGATCGGATATTAGAGGAACCTAGTGTCAATCCCAAAGAAAAAGAATTATTGGAAAAAGAAACATTAGAAGGTGTCGTTCTAGGCATTGGTAGATTAGATCAAGACAAAGCAAGAAAGGAAGAAACAAATGAATGGGAACCTTATGGCGACGAACATGGTGCTGGTGCTATGTCTGGGGGAGAGGAAGAGGCGGAATTGGGAAGAATGACAATGATGTCTGTATGTAATTTTTTTTCTTTTAATTATGTCTACCATCATTATCATAATGATTTTTTATATTATCTTATGAATTTTATATATTCGCACACATATATATTATATAGTTAATATCTTCTTTGGCGCCTATTGTTGGGCCAGAAAGATGTATTCGCTTATTTTTACCAGAGTTGGAAAAAATGATCGATGAGCAAGTATTTTATGTACGAAAGGTATGAATTATCGTCATCAGTATCATTATCATTTGTTACCATTATTTTTATTTATTATAAATGATAACTTGAAAAGATAAAATCGCAACTATCAAATTTTTATTTGTGTAGGAAGCAGCCACGGCATTGGGAAGATTGTCAGGAGTTTTGCCATTGGAGACCATTGAATCAAAATTGGTAAATATCAAATAAATTTATTTAATTTGAGTGGTTGGAAATATTATTGAGATTGTTGATATTCAGGGAAAAAAAATAAATAAATGATATCAAAAGTTACCCATATACGACCTTTTCTCAAACGATGCAATTTGGCATGTGCGCCGTTCGTGCTGCTTAGTCCTTCCTACGATATGTTCTCAGCTTCCCGATGAAATGAAATCTGAGCGTGCAGTAAATGGAATTAAAATTTTTGCAGAAGATGTAAGCAGAAGTGTAAGATCAGCTGCAGGGGAGATTATTGGTGAACTAATTGCGACATTTGATCCAAATGGAAAAGTACCCGAAAATCTGGTTCAACATTTCCTAAATTTAGGGCCTTTGAGAGAATCCAATGTCAATAATTATAATAATAATAACAATGACAGCAACAACAATAATAATGTAGCTGGTGGAATCTATAGTGGTCTTGGTCAAAGGGATCCTGAAAGACCATATATTTGTGCATTTAATTTTCCTGGTATTTATTTCTTTATTGAAACAATGAAAATGGAATTTGTTACATGTATATATATATCTTTTTTTTAAAAAATGAATATTTTCTTTAATTTAATAATAGCTGTTGTTTTAACTTTGGGTGAAAGTCGTTGGGATGATTTTAAAGAAACCTATTTCTCGTTAACACGGGACATGCAGGTCTGATTATTAAAAATAAAAATTATTTCTTTAATTGTTCTGACCATTGTTATGTAATTCTATTTCTCTTTTTTTTTTTTTGGATAGGTTAAGGTTAGAAGGACATTATCTTATTCACTTCATGAAATTGCAAAAGTGATTGGACCTAAAAAAACGGAAGAGGATTTATTACCAGTCTTTACTTACTATCTTGTTGATATGGATGAAGTTAAGTCTGGCGTTATGGAAAATTACGTTTCTTTTATTAGCTGCTTACCACAAACAGCTAGGGATGAGTGCTTACCTTCTTTATCTGGCATATGGGATAATTTAAAGCCGCAATGGCGTTTAAGAAATACAATTGCAAAGTATGAGTTATTTTTATTAGTTGGTACTTGTATTATTTTTTATTTTATTTATTGATTTTTCCTCTCTTGAATATTCAAAGGCAAATTCCCGCATTATGTCAGTTATTTGATGGCAGCAGTATAATAAATTATTTATTACCACTGGCCATAAAGGCGGTTAAAGATGAAGTTGCCACTGTAAGGGAAACCACAGTTGCTTGTGTAAGTTTTATGATTAATATAATATATATATATATATTATATATATGCACTAAAAATTCCAATCCATAAATCAATATATATCTATCAACTTACCTGTTTATCAATTCATTTAATTATATTTCTAGTTTCCAGCTTTATTTGAAGCTGTTCATAATGATGATACATTATTTAAAGAAGCGATAAAACGTGTATGTGAATTTTCATCCGAGAATAAATTCCGATCAAGAGTAATGTAAGAAAATATTGATTAAATAATTATTATAATTGTAATTTCGTTTTATCATAGTATAATATAAAATTGTTTTTCCAGATTTCATTCAAAAAAAAATTTTTATGTTAATTATTATTTTCAATATAATATAGATTTGTACAAATTTGTTATGCTCTAGTTTTATCAGGATTTCCCAAGTTAGATTTTGAAAGATATTTTCTTCCAATTCTAGAAAATTTTTCAGCGGATAGTGTTGTTAATGTTAGAATTACGCTAGTAAGAGTAATTAAAGAGTTATGCCAAACTGGTAAACTTTGATTTAATAATTAAAATTATTTTAGTAGTAATTATTTATTTCATTTATTAATTATATTATGTATGTATTTATTTTAATAAGAGCAATATTATCAGGATCCAATAAGTAGGCCACCACAAATCCTTGGTATGATTAATCGACTAGCGGAAGATCCTGATTTTGAAGTTCGTTCATTTTTATTTATGATTCTGTCACCCGAAGAAAGATTAAAGTTTATAAGAACAATGCAGCAACAGCAACAGCAGCAGCAACAGCAACAGCAACAGCCAATAACAGACGTAACTATAGAAGGTTTATCAGAATCGGTCACAAATGAGGCCATGAACGAAGAGAATAATCTAGATTCACAAGGAATTGTTAATTTTACATCAATGATTCCAGAAGAAGATTTAAATGTTGTGGATAGTACAATTAATAATGGTGGTAATGATAATGATAGAAATTATATTGATAATGATATTGAAGTCGATAATGACATTGAGGTTAATAATAATATTGAAGTTGATAATGACATTGAGATTAATAATAATATTGAAGTTGATAATGATATTGAGGTTGATAATGATGTTGATGTTAGTGTTGATGTTGATGTCGATGTCAATAACATTAATGTCGACACCAATAATAATGATATTTATAATATTAATAATAATGATGTTAACACCAATAATACTAGCAGTAGTAATAATATTATTAATATTAATATTAATATTAATAGCGAATCGTCATTAACAGTAGAAAATAATGGGTCTGCATCGGTTAGCACAATTATTGAAGAAGTTCCAATTTCATATATAAAAAATAATAATGTGATTGATATGGATAATAATAATATAACTTCTACTGGATCAACATCTCCAACTTAAAATTCACTATAGGAAATTTTTGCTCTTTTTTTTAATATATATAATATATTTATACTTTTTAAAAATATTATTATTGAACAATTTCTAATAATTATTGGAATTGAATCAAAAAAAAAGCAAGAAAAAGTCTCAATCAAAAATCTAGAAATTAATTTTTTTTATCATTGCAAAAATCATTTTACATATTTTATTAATAGTTTCCATTTTTATTTTATTTTTTATATTTTAGGTTTTTTTCATATTATTATGCACATATACACATATCCGCGTTTTAATTATAAAAATTTTTTATTTAATAAAATTATTATTATTGGTGTCACTGTTTCCAGCATTATATATTTATCCTCCTGCTAATTTATATCAGTAAAAACTTTGTTTATTCATTTTTTAAAAATAAAACCAAAATATTGTTTCAAAAATTGAACCGAAATCGGTTTTGATCCCATTCGTATTCATCAATCTTGGCCTGATAACAACACATCACCAACGGATAAATATCAATTGTAGAGAAGACTACAGGAACTCTTGCGAACCTATCCATACCATCATCCAGAACTGGGATGTGTTATTGGCCGGTCGTTCACAAAATAAATTCTTGCGATATCTAAGTTTTAACATCGTCAAAGATTCTATCAATAATTGGAGCCATTTTTATGATGATGGTCCAATGTAAATGGATTTGGTTCTCGTTCTTTCGATCCTCGCTTGTTAAAAATCACAACTCTTATGTTATCATTCTATACATGCCGTCGACAAACCCTGGTGTTGTCATCGTTTTATATAATTGTCTGTGATTTAAAAAAAGTAATTCTCATTTTATGAAATCCCCCCCCCCCCCTCGCGGACCTACTCATCATCCAAAAACATCGAGTTCTATCTATCTCAAGCCATGGACGTTTATTATTTTGAAAAATCCAACTAACAAGGAATTGGATATTTCATCACATTATGCATAAATCATCACACACACGACAATCCAGAAAAACGACCTATCATTCATTACTTACAATTCTTTTAAATGCATATCCTGTCTGGACTTCATAATAACTTAAAAGATTCTTCATCTTGTTTTTTTTTTTAGTCACAACCATTATCATCGCTTGAAAATGAAGGGTATCCCAAAACATTCCATTGCGTATAAGAGATTGATTGTTATTTCAACAATGACATGAATTGATAAAAGCTCTAGAATTGTAGTTAACGACTCAGCCTAATGAGATGCCACTATTGCAACTGGTCAACAACAAATAATTACATTATCTAGAAGATTCTTTGCAAAAACATTAATTATTATAACTACCATTTCTGTGTGTTTTATTAACCAGGTAGGTGTTTTCTTTGATGTAGTGTTGGGTTAAGAAATTCTCATTTAGAATGTGTTCGATTAGATCAAGCCTTACTGTAATCTTCTTATAATATGAGTATATGCTGATCATATTTCTATATATGTGTTCTTGATTGATTTTGTCCAATTCCAAATTCCAAATAGTAATAAGTAAAAACTATCAGTAGAAGTTTTTACCGGCTCATCAAAAATATAATTGTAAATAAATAAAATCTGGTACAAAATTTGGCATGATTATATGATTTAACCATAGCTCAATGCTATTTCTGGTTAGAAAACCTTTATCTTCTTCAAATAAACAATTGACTATTATTTTAGAGCTGTTAAGGAGTGTACATGGATTTTCAATAAAATCAGAATATTAATAATATCATGCCATTATTTATTTTTTTTTTGTAAAGAAAAAAAAAATTCTGTTAGTTGCATAATAAAAAAATGAAAATGATTTATTTATCCAACCAATTGAAATCTTGATATTTTCTTAACAATTCAAGATTACTACTAACATCTAGTGATCTTACAAATTTTATTGTAAAAGGTTTATGACCTCATTAAATTATCAAAAGGATTGTCACGTTTGATTTAAAATTGCTAAAATTCTATTGACATCTATTATTTCCTGAGAAATCGGAGAAAATTTTCTAAATTGAATACTTTCTAATTTAATACAATTATTGAATATTTCCATTAACTCCTGGTCTACTTCATCCTTATAAACTATTGATAAATCTACAAGATTTTTACATTGTGTAATTGATTGAAATAACTTTCTCAAAAATTCACTATCATTTGGAACAACACAAATATCCAGATATTTAAGAGTTTTTCCATTGATGTTAATAAAATCAATCAATCCTAATGATTTTGATAACATTTGACAATGTATATATGATTTCACAGATTCAAGGTTCGGCAGTGAAATATTTTTCAAATATTCTATTTTGGTATCAAAAACATGTGATATTAATAATAAAGTCTTCAAATTGTATAGAGTTGGTAATAATATATTATCTATATCATATTCACCACTGCCTGAATAATAAATTATTGATTGCGAATGTGAGAGTATTGCTTTTTTGAAATTATCTGAAAAAACATGATCAGCACTTGAAAGAATGGTTAATTTCTTTATTTGATTTTGTGCTCTGATTAGCCGAGCCAGACTATCTTCAAATTTATTGTTATTCTCATGAGAAACATAATATATGTTTAATGATTGAATAGATTTGCAAATATTTGCTAATTTATCAATAAATTGACTTCCAAAAGAACTATAACTGGTTAATTTATTCAAGTTCTGAAAACTATTATTGAATCTATGATAATTGTTTATCCAATAATAATCCCTACCAAAAGTACCAAAATTTCTGATAACCGCTGAATGATCTAAAATAAATTTTACTAATCTATTTTGCAAAATATTTAATTTAGGATTTTTTGTCAGCATTTTAATAGAATAATCATAATCATCGATAAGTTTAAAGCTAGTGCAAAATCGAGCATAATTATGTAATGGTGGTTTCTCCAATAAGTCAAAAGTTAATTCAATACTATTTCTAGTTAAGAAATCCTTGTCTTCTTCCAATAGACAACTGATTATTATTTTAATGCTGCTGCCATCACGATAATTAAATGGACTTCTCCATAAAAATGGAATATTAATAAAATTAACATTAAAGAAATACACGTTTTTTTTTACAAGGAGGAGAGGGGACAAGCGACTATTATTATTATTATTATTATTATTATTATTATTATTATTATTATTATTATTACTATTGTTGTCATTGATGTTGTTATTTATAATGATTGCAGTCAATTGCAATTTTTTATACTCTTCTAAGACTGCTTTAAAGATCTTCCCTATCCACGAAGCGGCTCAGTTAATCGCAACATGCATCTGACCTTCCGCAATCATTTATTCATCAACATTTAACGTTATGTGTGGTAAGGATAAACCTTGGGTCTCGTGAACTCTCAAAGAGAATGCGTTTTGGCGAGGAAATTGTTACCTCGATGCGCTTTTGCTATCAACTTCAAAATGGCAAGTTTCCTTTTATACAATTATTTTGCTTATATTTTTCAGGGTTGGAAACGTCACTTTGACACTTTCGTCATTTATCTCACCAATGGTTCCATTGCATGTATTCCCGTTAAGCAATTTGTTGTTCAAGAACATCACGCGAGAGTCTTCTTGCAAGTATATCTGTGGAACTGTAACTCAAAATGTGACAGAAGGCAGTAAAAACTGAAGTCTTTTTTTTTCAATTTTCAATAATAATGAAAAAACGAGATAATAGAGAAAAAGAAGAAGACGATGAAGAAAACGGTGGTGATATTTTGATAGTTATAAAATAATAAAATAGTAATATAGGTATTTTGGAACAAATAAAGGTATCCTTAACAATAATAATTATTAATATTAAAGACTTAAAAGTTAGTTGAGACGACTGATTTTTCCTTTTAATTTATATTATATGTAAATTGATATTGTCCTTTAAAAGCCACAATAGCATAAGTATTTTAAATATCGACATGCTACCGCTACATGAAGATGTTTTTTTCCTATCAATCGAAAAGGTAATATTCAAAGTTATAGAAGTGGCACATGGACAATTGCTAATTTTTTGGCTTCAAATGAATTTTAGACGTAACAATGTAAATTTTTTGCAGGGAAATATAATCATTGCCTTTATAACGGTCAAATACTCTGTTAATAAATAAGCAATGGCAATTTGGTTTGTGCCTTTATTAGTTTCCATCGAAGTATCCTTTTTCTAGTTTGTCTAAAAAGCCTCATTTCTTCTGGATTAAGTATTGAATCAAACACATTGATCATGTGTTTATGAGATTTATGTAATCTTACTTATCAATAAAAATGGTTGGTCAAAAGCTATATATAGGTTACTGAAGCCTTGGACTTTATTATGGAAAACACACTTTCATTTTATAAATGTAATTGTAACGAATCCCGAAAATTTCTAATTAAAAAAATAAACTTATAAAGAATATCTTGTTAAAGAGCATTCAGACATTCTAACTAATGTACAATTTTTTTTAAAAAAACATTACAATGTATCGGGTCATTAGGATAATGATTTAGAAAATAATATTGCTAAAGTTTCTTTTGACCTTATCGCTTTGTGGAGTTTAAAAATTCTAAATATTCATTTAGTTATCTTGATTTAGCTCCCATGAATATGATAATTATATGGAGAAGGTTAAGGAAAGTATTAAAGATCGTACATGCGCACAATTGATTATAGGTAAATTGCAAGAAAATTTTAAAATGAAAATTTGGTAATTACGTTGATTTATCGTTATGTGGAGCATACCGGAACAAAACCAGTCAAAATGAACATTATGACACAAAGAAAGTTCAAAATTTCTTAACAGCTTTACCGAGTTTTTTATTGGTTTCGTGATAACTTCTTAATTATTCAATATCCCAAAAGCGTAGATTAGGTAAATACTAATGTTGTTTGACGAAATGTTACCAAGGTTGAAAACTATTACGTCAAATTCGTTGCAAGTAAAAACCTTGACGCAAGTAAAAACACTTGATGTAAATAAAATTGCTTTAAAGGTCAATAAAATATAAAAGTTCATATAAATAGATATTTCATTGTCTTCGATCTCCATTGTTTCATAGCTG